ATGTTGCCCAGGCTGGTCTTGAACTCCTGGTGTCAAGTGATCCACCCCAGCCTCCCAGAGTGCTGACATTACAGGCATGAGCCACCAGGCATAGTCCTAGTAATCTCTCTCTTTTTTTTTTTTTCCTTTTTAAACTTTTATTTTAGATTCAAGGGTACATGTGTAAGTTTGTTATATAGGTAAATTGCATGTCTTGGGAGTTTGGTTGGTCTTTTTTATATGAAAGGAAGGAGAAGAGATGGAACCCCTGGAGAAAGAGCCCTGGAAGTGTTTGTGCCTTCATTGAACGTAATGTAGGAGTTTTTCTTTCAAAGCTACTCATTTGCCTATTCAAATTTGTAGTGGTGGTGTTCATAATTCATTCCCAAGAATCTTATATAAGTGTTCTTTGGTGTTTATATAACTCTTGTGGTTACTGCTCACAGCTGGCTCACATGAAGGAGAAAGTTCAGGGGTATTTGCAACTAGGCCTGATTCTGTGATCCTGAACTATGGTGGTAATAGTCATTGACTTTTAAGCCATGCAGATACTAATTTAATTTACATTTGTTGTCTGTCAAAGCACATATCTCTTTACCTCCTTACTGAACTTTTTTCTTTTCTCTCAGTAGCTATTGGCAGGTTACATTCTAGAATCTGGGGGAGGGCTATTTTTTGGAAGTTAAATTACTTTGCTTAGGTTGTGAATTGACATGATTCAGTGTTCAGAAGGTAAAACAAGAATACACAGTGAAAAGTTACATTTTGACTTAGGGAAATTTAATTTTATAATTTTTGAAATAACAGATTTATTATTAAGAATGGTTTATTAAATGTATAGCATTTGTTACAATGTTATGTAAAAACCATAATCATCATGAAACAGCAAAAATGAAGCATTTGAAAGACATTGGTTTACATGAAAATGAACTTTAAATGTATATTATTAGCACTAAATTAAATAAAATAAATATTATTAAACTAAATTTCTTTAATAAACTAAAAGTAGTTGAACCCAGAAGCTGAGGATTCACTCAAAGAATAAGGGGTGATAAGGAGCTGGTTTAGACCTGTATCATGAGAATTATATATATTGTGCCTGATGATTTGAAAATTGTTACTGCACTTGGCCACATTCAGCCCCATGCCAGACAGGAGTTCATAGCCAAGCCTTATAACTTGGGTTGAATGTTTGATAATAAATCTGCTGGTGATAGTGCAAGGTCAGCAGGTTCTATTCTTTCTCCTCCCAGGAACAGCCTACTTCACAAGCAGATGCCAGAACAAGGAAATACAACAGTTGACAAAAAGTTACCTCTGCCCAGCAGATCAATTTCAAACCCCTTGGACTTGCCCTCTATTTTCTGACTCTGTCCTATCTGCCTACTCTCTAACCTTGCCTCCAACTGCTTCTCCAAGTGATTGCTCAACAAATTTGCTTGTGAAATAGAAACAAAACAAAAAAGACCAGGAGAGCATCAGAGGTCATTATCAGAACCAGGCCAGAGGACCCAGCAAAACACTAAATTGAAGTGTGCCAACCCAGTCCCAAGTATAGTTGGTGTGTTGTAGACCAAACTGCAGTATTGGTGGAAGTAGTCATTTAGCAGTGGGTATCCCCTCTTGGGGAGTCTGCTGCCCAGCCAACTCTTTGGGAGGAGGAATTTGATGGCCTCACCTTTTAGGAGGGAGTAATTCAGGGCTGTGAAGCAGGAAGAAATTGACAGCAGTATTAAATGAAAATACTGTGGAAGTATTAGTTCTTTGGAGGGATATGGGGCTTGAAGGAATGACAGTTCTTTTAAAGGAAAACAGAATTGCTGAAGTTGCTCCTATGATGTTTCAGATGGAAATTGGAGAGCACTGTTTGAAGAGGCTGGTGAATTTGGGAGGGCAGCTTAGTCAGACTTGGAACTCTTCTTTGAAACTTCTCTTTTAGTTCTCATGTCTGACTGGACACATAAGCTATGGCACCTTGTTTCCTCAACAGGTAGAACATGTCCATGAGCCAGTGCTCACACACACACAGTACATTCCTAGTGCTTCTTGCCACCCTGGGCTCTGCTTTCTTTGGGAAGCCTTTCGTAAAAGGCCTACTATAGACTGTTGGTAATGGAGAAGGAAGTGTGACGTTTTAACCTCTTGCTCATGTTAATGGTATTGCAGTGTCCCATCATGAACATTTCTTGTCTGCTGCCTTTCTTGACCATTTCCCCTTTGCTTTTCAAAAAGTGAAATCTGTCTACCCAAACCTCAGTTGAGGGCCAAGGAAGTTGCTGCCAGTGCTGCTGCGGGGTAGTGAATCATCCTGGGCATCCACATGTGAGACCCACTCATCTGTCCATTTTTACAGTAACCACATTAGCCTCTCCTCTCCATTCAAACACCAGGACAGTGGAAAGTAGAGTGCTGGGAAGGAGAGGTTTGGGAGTAATCTTCCTCAGGACAGGGGTTGACTTCTGTACCAGCATCCAGAGAAGGATCTTGGATTCTCACCTAATTCTGCCTTGGATGAGGAGCTCCAGGAAAGAGAAAGGGAAGTGGTTGTTAGGTTGGAAGGTCCTTCTTGTTGCTGCTTTACTTCCTTCCTTTTAGCTGGTGCCTACCCATTCCGTGAGACCAAACCCGGATCTCACTCTTCCCAAGGAAGCACCCCTATGCCCAGCCCTAGGTCAAGCTGGATTTGGTGTCTTTTTTTCTTCAGTGTTAATGCTCTTAGGCACTTTCTGCATTGCATATGTGTTTCCCCATGTGGTCTATTCCACTGTGCCTTGGCACAGGGCCTGATACCTAGCAGATGCTCATATATGTGTTAGGCTAAACTGAAAGCAGGGAGCAAGAGAGGCGACAGTGACAGGTTTGTAGTAGTCTCACATGGAGAGGTTTAACATGAAAGTATAGTCTACAAATTTCATGGAGGAGGTATGTGTGTGTAAGAAACATTCATTTTTTTAAAACAAGATACAGTTTGCAGATATCATTTCTGCTTCCCCCTTTGCTTTCTTATTTCTGATCTTTGATTAGAATATGTAGTTGAGATTTGAGTTCTCCACACAATTATCGCCACTCAGCATGGCTGACTAAGGCCCCAGAGATCTGCATGCTCCCAGACTGTTCAATGTGGTTGGGAGTATGGAGTTCCATGGAATTAGGCAAACAAGGATTTGAAGAATAATGTCTTCCACAAGAGAACCATTGACATACCTGTTTTGCAGATGTGGGGAACTATGGCTCAGAGAAGTTACTTCTGTAAACATAGAGCTACAGGATTTAAAGCCAGCACTGCCTGACTGCAAAGCTCATACTTTTTTTTTTTTTTAATTTGAGATGGAGTTTTGCTCTCGTTGCCCAGGCTGGAGTACAGTGGCACAATCTCGGCTCATTGCAACCTCCACCTCCTGGGTTCAAGTGATTCTCCTGGCTCAGCCTCCTGAATAGCTGGAATTACAGGCATGTGCCACCATGCCTCACCAATTTTGTATTTTTAGTAGAGACGGCGTTTCTCCATGTTGGTCAGGCTAGTGTTGAACTCCAGACCTCAGGTGATCTCCCCGCCTTGGCCTCCCAAAGTGCTGGGATTACAGGCATGAGCCACCACGCCCAGCAAAGCTCATACTTTTAACTGCCTACTCCTGTTTTTCTACTTATTTCTTATATACCCATGGGCAAGTATTTTTAACTTTTCAGGGCTTCAGTGTCTCATATTTAGAATTAGGAGAGCAAAAATGCCTCATATTTAGAATTAGGGGAGCAAAACTATTTTAGAGTTATTATAAGGAAGAAAAGAGGCAATGTAAAAAACTAAATCCATACCTTATGCCTGGAATAATAGTAATCATAGTAAAAGCAGTAGCTGTTTTTTTCTTTTTAAAAAATACAATGTTTATTGTATGCCAGACATTGTTTTAGTTTGCTTGTTCTTCATTTTCTTTTCTTTTTTCCTTTTTTTTTTGAGAGATGTCTTGCTCTGTTGCCCAGGCTGGAGTGCAGTGGCATAGTCATGGCTCACTGCTACCTCCGCCTCCTGGGTTCAAGCAATTCTCCTGCCTCAGCCTCCCCACTAGCTGGGATTATAGGTACCTGCCACCATGCCTGGCTGATTTTTGTATCTTTACTAGAGATGAGGTTTCGCCATTTTGGCCAGTTTGGTCTCGAACTCCTGACCTCAGGTGATCCACCCACTTTGGCCTCTCAAAGTGCTAGATTACAGGCATGAGCCACTGTGCCTGAACCCCAACTATCTTTTAAGACATTACCTTTAGAAATCTTTCAAGGCCTGACTCGTATTTTACCTTCCATGGTTCCTCTGTGATCATCACATGAATTAGTATCTTTCATATTCCTGTGATGTCTTCAACCTTGAAGTTCTTTATATCTGTTGATCTGCCCTTCCTGTGATATTTAGCACACCTTGCCATAGTGAGTCTGTATTTGTACATACCCTGTCTCTATAAGCAGAACACAAACTACTTGAAGGGAAGGAGTCTTACAAATATCTCTTGAAATATCTAGGACAGGGCTTGCCATATTGTAGGCCCTCATTACATGGTTGGCAAGTTAAATGAGTGAATGCTTTAAGATACTGAAAGGAGGAATATACTCCCTGTTGGCAGATGAGAGGTAAAAGGACTTGCTTAGAGTCACACAACTGAGTGTGAGCTATATTTGGAACCTAGCTTCTCAGACTGTCCCTTTCTAAGCATTCTGAGGCCAGGAAACTTCCTCACTCTGATCATAGCACTAAACTCTAGTAAGAGTGATGGCGATCATTCATTGTGGGCTTACTTTGGGCCAGGCTTGGGTCTAGGCATGCACACATTTAGTCCTCATAATAGCTCTGAGGTGTGGGCCTCGCTGTCCTCATTTGTAGATACATCCACTGATGTTCAGAGAGGTATCAATAATTTGCCTTAGATTACTAGCTAATAAATTGCTGAGCTGAGATTTGAACCCAGGTGTGTCTGGCATCAAAATTCATTCCCCTACCCCTGTAAAGCAATGTCTTTCCCCTTGTTTTTCAGACCCATCCCTGGAAGGCATGTGTGGCACTGAGCATGCCCAGCTGGGAGAAGATGGGCAGCAGCCGCCGCGGTGCACTTCAACTACCTCATCTCAGTCTGAGCCTTCAGAGAAGCTTAGGCGCCACCAAGGCAACAATCTAGCCTCTGAGGACCCCAAAAAGAAGAGAGCTCAGAAGCCCTCCCACATGAGAAGAAACATACGGTGAGCCATGCTCTGTGTAAGAGGAGAGGGGAGGGAACAGAGGTTTTACCTTCATCCTAAGGCTATTAATAGCAAAAAGATTGATTTGGGAAGGAGAGTTCTCTCTTTCCAAAGGAGAAAAGTACCAGCTGTGTGTCTCCATTAATAGTGGAGGTGCAGCTCAGGACCACTGGATCTGGGCTTTCAGAGGACTGTAGGGAGGATGAGAAAGGCCTTGACCACTGCTTGGGGGTGTTTTACTCTCTAGAGGTCCCAGGTGGCAGCCCAAAGATGATAGGGTGCTTTGAACTGGGTTTTTCGTTTTTTTTTTCTTTATTTTTCTTTATGTCTCAAAACAAGAGGAGACTTTACAAAGTTGAGTTCTCATCTTCTTAGATGTCAACTTCAAATGGTAGAGGACTGTCTGACCGAAAGCAAGACTCCTAAGAGATGAGCAAAAATGTGAACTGCTTTAACTATCCGAATCCCCAATTGTTCTTCCTTCTATCAGATAACAGTGAAAGGAAATGGATATCTTTTTCTCCTCCTGCCTCCACTTTTTTTTTTTAAATAATGACAACTTAAAGTATTACTCTAAGTTTGGAAATAATATAGAATCCCTGTAAATGTAGTTTCTTTTCTTTTTTTATATCTTATTTATTTATTTATTTATTTATTTTTAGATAAAGTCTCTGTTGCCCAGGCTGGAGTACAAGTGGTTCGATCTTGGCTCACTGCAAGCCCCACCTCCTGGGTTCAAGCAATTCTAGTGCTTCAGCCTCCTGAGTAGCTAGAACCATAGGTGCCTGCCACCACACCTGGCTAATTTTTGTATTTGTAGTAGAGACAGGCTTTTGCCATGTTGGCTGGGCTGGTCTCAAACTCCTGGTCTCAAGTGATCTACCCACCTTTGCCTCCCAAAGTGCTGGGATTTCAGGTGTGGACCAGTGTGCCCGGCCAATCCTAGTTTCTTTTCTACATGACAACACTTTTTTCCTTGAGATGAAGTCTCATTCTTTCACCTTGACTGGAGTGCAGTAGCACAATTTTGGCTCACTACAACCTCTGCCTCCTAGGTTCAAAGGATTCTCCTGCCTCAGCCTTTTGAGTAGTTGGGACTACAGGTGTACACCACCACGCCTGGCTAATTCTTGTGTTTTTAGTAGAGATGGGGTTTTACCACGTTGGCCAGGCTAGTCTCAAACTCCTGACCTCAGGTGATCCATCTGCCTTGGCCTCCCAAAGTGCTGGGATTGCAGGCGTGAGCCACTACACCTGGCCAACAACACTATTTTTATACTGCTTTTAAAAAGCTTTGTGAATCAAATATTACTCTAGTTTATTCTTGATTTATTATGTGGAGAGATGAGTTGGTAGGGGCATCTGTCAGGGAGTTAAATAATATGGAAGGTATGTTAGCCTAGAACCATCTAGCTTGATGTCCTATTTTTTGAATGCTGCTCCTTTCATGGGTGTGGTGGGGCTGATGTTGCTTCTCCTTCTCCCATTTCAACTCTCTGAGATAAGCAATGGCTATTTCTCTCTTTAGCTTATCATTACATTGCCCAAATATTAATTGAACCCAAGTGCTGTCTCTTATGTGAATGTTTAGAAAGCTACTCCGGGAAGATCAACTGGAGCCTGTTACCAAAGCAGCACAGCAAGAAGAGTTGGAAAGAAGGAAGCGCCTGGAGCAGCAGAGGAAAGATTATGCAGCCCCTATTCCTACTGTCCCGCTAGAGTTCCTCCCTGGTAAGCAGTGGACGTGGCAGGGAAGGCCCTGTGCTTCAGGCTCTCCTGAAGCAGGAAGAATCCCAAGGTGCACACAGTGGTCAAAAACAGATCTGGAATAAGACTGTGGCCTCTCAGGAATCCTTTAAAGTCATTCAGCTTCTTCAGAGCACACAATCAGAAGATTATTTAAAAAGTTAAAATGAATAAAAATGTACTCTTTAAATAGATTTTATTTAGATTTTTTCCTCATAACTGTGATTTTAACTTGCCAAGTGGTTGGGACCTTTTCTAGTGGTCAGGTGAATAGCAGGAAGTAAAAACCAGTAGAGAAAGGGAATTTGGAAGGAGGGCTGAGGTTTTTGAGAATGGGCTCTTCTTCTCTTCTCAGTGGATACTCCCCATGAGAACTAGAAGAGAAAAGGGGCGGTAAATTGTTTTGGGAAAAATATTTTTAGAGCTAAATGTGGTCTTGATGTCATTCCCTTTCATTTTGCATTTCTAGAGGAAATTGCTTTAAGAGCAAGTGATGGTCACCAACTGCCTCCTCGGGTCTTGGCCCAGGAAGTCATTTGTTTGGACAGTAGCAGTGGCAGTGAGGATGAAAAAAGCAGTCGAGATGGTAAGATCAAGCCAGAGGTGCCTCCCTTTTTCCTGACCTGGTGTTCGTCCTGAGATTGGCTGTACTTTGAAGAGTCCAGTCCTTCCTCATTCAGTTTGGGGTGTGGCTTTGACAAATTTCCCTGTTTCACCTTGGTAAATATAAGTTTTTTGCTTGTCTTAACTTGAAGCTGGAAGAGAGAAATAGTAAAAATCAAAATTTTAATAAGTGATGACAAGTTCTAACTTTAAGTTTCTATAGTCTTCTTGTCTGACTGGATGTAGTTAATTATCTTCACTCCCTAGATATTTGGTTTTACTTTTGTTTTGCTGTCTCAGAGGTGATTGAACTGAGCTCTGGAGAGGAGGACACTCTGCACATTGTGGACAGCAGTGAGTCTGTCAGTGAAGAGGATGAGGAAGAAGAGAAGGGTGGCACCCACGTCAATGATGTCTTAAACCAGCCTGACACCCTTGGGCGGGTCCTTGTCAACTTAAACCACCCTCCAGAGGAGGAAAATGTCTTCCTTGCCCCACAGTTGGCACGGGCTGTGAAACCTCATCAGGTACAGCAAAACTTGATTCTTTTCTCTTCTTCCTTTCTGTTTCCTTGCTGTGAACATTAACTGCTGGTGTTTATTAGCGTCATAGCCCATGAAGTACTTGTTTGGTACCAAGAGCAGCTTGTTCAGCTATTGAAAAGACCTCATAGTTCCTTCTAGCAGTTGATGCTTCGGGATTCCTGATGAATAGGAAGGGATGGGGAAAGGGAAGTAACAAGCCTTAGGTTTGCCCTACCCCATAGAAAGCACTGGGTCTCTTGACCTAATAATTTGAGTCTCTTTCTGTGGGATTCCATGACTGAGGTGCTCTCTGGAAAGCAGCAGTTTGATTAGGAAGGTCTGGATCTAGAAGAGATGTGAGAGTCAGAAGACGGAGGGACTTTCTGATAGGAGGGAGCAGAGTAGTTTGTGTTGATCCAGAGCCTGGAGCCAGGACTAGTGAGTAAAAGTTCCATGAAGACAGGCATTGACTCAGCTTAAGAACTCTTTTTTTTTTCCTGAGACAGGTTCTTGTTCTGTTGCTCATGCTGGAGTTCAGTGGCATGATGTCTGCTCATTGCAGCCTTGACTTCCCTGGCTCAAGTGATCCTCCCACCTCAGCCTTCCAGGTAGCTGGGACTATACCACCACACCACCACACCCAGCTAATTTTTTGTACTTTTTTTTTTTAATTTATAGAGATGAGGTTTCACCATGTTGCCCAAGTTGATCTTGAACTCCCAGGCCTAAGAACTCCTAACAATAAGGACTCCTCCTATGTGGCTAGGTACAGTGGCTCATGCCTATAATCCTAGCACTTTGGGAGACCAAGGCAGGCAGATGACCTCAGGTCAGGAGTTCAAGACCAGTCTGGCCAAAATGGTGAAACCCTGTCTCCACTGAAAATACAAAAATTAGCTGGGCATAGTGGCACATGCCTATAGTCCCAGTTACTCTGGAGGCTGAGGCAGAAGAATTGCTTAAACCCAGGAGGTGGAGGTTGCAGTGAGCCGAGACAGCACCACTGCACTTCAGCCTGGGTGACAGAGCAAGAATCCATCTCGAAAAAACAAAACAACAACAACAAAACTACTCCTATGAAATGGGCTGCCTTAAGAGGGTGAGCTTCCCAAGGCTGAAGGAAGCCAGGCTGACTGTAAGATCCTGTCAGGAATTTGACACTACCAATTCATGCATTACATGAGGCATTATATTGTACTAGTGAAAGCTTTTCTGTGTTTTCTCCAAGAGGACTGTCACCAGCAAATAGACCAGTCAAGGTATAGGGAAACTATTATGGCCATCCACACCTGCTGTCTATTATAATGCGTTCCTATTTACCTAATTCTTACTAATTTCAGAGTGAGTGAAAACGGGAGCCCTCATCTTTGTGAATCACTCTGACATTTGTCTTTGTCCCTTGTCAGATTGGTGGGATCCGGTTCCTTTACGATAATCTAGTGGAGTCCTTGGAGAGATTTAAGACTAGCAGTGGCTTTGGCTGTATTCTGGCCCACAGCATGGGTCTGGGGAAAACTTTGCAAGTGATCTCTTTTATCGACGTCCTCTTCCGCCACACGCCAGCCAAAACAGTCCTTGCCATTGTGCCGGTAAGAGTTTTTGGAAAGGCTCCACTTAAGTCACTCCTGAAGAGCTCTGGGTTGATGCCTTTACAGGGCACTAAAAAGCTTGATGAGTTTAGCTCTGAGTTTGTTCCAATAAAACTCTTTTTGGACTTGGCTTTCTAATAGGTTAATACTCTTCAGAATTGGCTGGCAGAGTTCAACATGTGGCTTCCACCTCCTGAAGCCCTTCCGGCTGACAACAAGCCTGAAGAAGTCCAGCCTCGGTTCTTTAAAGTTCACATCTTGAATGATGAGCACAAGTAGGTGGCCTGCCCTTTCCTCTCTGCCCCTTTCCTTTTAGACTTCTGCCTGGGATCTGATGTTAAGGCAGGCTATTTGAGTATGTAGCCTGTGTGCCCAGATTCGTTTTGGTTTCTTGATGTGTCACTTTCTCTGTTCTTGCTACTCATTTTTTTCTCTACCTAGCTTTTCAGGTAAGCCAGAGTTAAGTAGCTTGATAAATATCTTGTGTTCTGCTTTAGGAGGCTTTTTTTTTCTTTTTTGAGATAGAGTTTTGCTCCTGTTGCCCAGGCTGGAGTGCAATGGCATGATCTTGACTCACTGCAACCTCTGCCTTCTGGGTTCAAGTGATTCTTCTGCTTCACCCTCCTGAGTAGTTGGGACTATAGGCATGTGCCACCATGCCCAGCTACTTTTGTATTTTTAGTAGAGACAGGGTTTCTTCTTGTTTGTCAGGCAGATCTTGAACTCCTGACCTCAGGTGATCTGCCCACCTCGGCCTCCCAAAGTGCTGGGATTACAGGTGTGAGCCACCATGCCAGAAAGCTTTTTTTTTTTCTGGTAACACAGAAAATGATTCGGTTCCAATGCAGAGGAGGCTTTTATATCTTGAAAAATAAGTGGGCATGGTTGTATTTCCCAGGCCTAAAGTAGTAAAATTCAACATGAAAAAATGCATCTTTCCACTGTCTATTTTTATCTTTTTTTTGGAGGCAAAGTCTCGCTCTGTTGCCCAGGCTGGAGTGCAGTGGTATGATCTCAGCTCACTGCAACCTCTGCCTCCCCAGTTCAAACAATTCTCCTGCCTCAGCCTCCCAAGTAGCTGGGATTACAGGCATCTGCCACCACACCCAGCTAATTTTTGTATTTTTAGTAGTGACAGGGTTTCACCATGTTGGCCAGGCTGGTCTCGAACTCCTGACCTAAGGTGATCCACCTGCCTCAGCCTCCCAAAGTGCTGGGATTACAGACGTGCGCCACCATGCCTAACCAGTCTCTTCTTTTAAGCACTGGTCTGCATTTGACCTTTAATGGTACAACTCCCAAAGCTTTGAAAGGTGTAAGCCTTGCTGTATTTACGATTTAAATAAAATTATTTGTATATGTATGCCATAAAGTCAACCTGATTTCCAAAAGTCTAAAGCTATTTCTTGATCAAACAAGCCAGCTCTACATGCTGACCTTTCCTCTCATTGGTGTAGATAATTGAGAAAGTAGACTTTACTGTATTTTCTGTAAAGGATGCCTTTTGTGATGTTTGGATGCACACATAAAAATGAGGAGATGATGAGTTGACTTCACAGGCGGTTGATCTCCAACTCTGCTTTCTTAGATTTCAGGACTTTTAGTCCACATGCGGTCAGTGAAATACAGTGAGGGCTCGGGTGTTTGGAAGTGGAGTGACTGCACTGAGGGTCATCTGATCTGTTCTGCTCTTTCCTCTTTACTGTTTGTAGCTCTTTATTCACTTGAGCACAGGCAAGTGAACTGCAGAATGTTGCCCTTCCTTCTGTCACCTTGTATTTATCATGGGATTAAATGCTCTTTCAAATGTTGAATTGTAGTCATGCCTGAATATCCAAGGGGGTGGTCATTTTCTCTCACCTTATGTAGTTGAATTGCTATGTTTCTTGCTGTTTAACTGCCATCAATGATCCAGTTCATCCTCAGTGAAGTTAGTTCTCTGGGATGATGGGAGGTCCTTGGGCAGTAGGCCAGCCCTGTGCTTGCTGCCACATGAAATCCTTGGTAATAAGTTCTGAATGTATATCAACACGACTTTGATAGTGAGCAATTCTTTTTGGGGAGCAGCAGAAACAATAACTCTTTAGATATAATTCACAGCTCACACAGTTTTCTTTGTTTATCTTACAGGACGATGGCATCTCGTGCTAAAGTGATGGCTGATTGGGTGTCAGAGGGTGGGGTGCTGCTGATGGGGTATGAAATGTACAGACTCCTCACTCTGAAGAAATCATTTGCCACAGGTAGACCGAAGAAAACCAAGAAACGTTCTCACCCAGTCATCATTGATCTGGATGAGGAAGATCGGCAGCAGGAGTTTCGGAGAGGTGGGTAGCCTGTCCTAGGAATACTCTTGGTGATGTTTCAGGAAAAAAGTAATTGTGTCTGCTAATAGCACCTAGTCAGATATAAAGTGCATTATTGATGTGAATTGTTATCATGAACCGAAAATCCTGGTTCCCAAGATGAGTAGAATGACTTTGGCTCTTAGAAGGTACTGCTTTCTCTGCAAGCCATGCAGTTCTAGTTAGGCGAGGCCAGGCCACACACCGGCTTGAGGGAGATTCCTCTGTTCATCTGTCCGTTTCTCTCACAGAACAGTTAGAAGAGTAACCATTTCCTTTACCACTTTCTAGAGATGTTCTGAGAAAGCATTGAGAAAATATAAAGTGTTTAAATCACTAATATAAAGGCAAAGTAGTAATACTATTGTTTGTAAATTTATAAAAAAGAATTTATCCCCGTTTCTTTTAGTGAAAACCATTCCTTCCTCTCATAGTTCTAATTTTACTCCATCTTCTCAGGGGCCTTTGCTTATTTGGGGAAGAAAGTTTTTAAGGGTTCAGCGGCCATTTCATTTTATAAGTCTCTTCATCTATGAGATTATGTTTGTTCTAGGTTTGCTTCTATGGTAGAGCTGGGATGAATTTGCCATTTAGCAATGACTAGAGAATAACTTCAGGAAGACCCTGCCCTTTAGCTAGCTCCTACCAGCCAGCCCTCAGATGGAGTCAAGATGCTGGCAATGGTGAGAGTCCACTAAAGTGTCTGGACTATTCCCATTGGTTTCATCTAGGTGCATTTTTAATCCTAGGCTGGCACTCTGAAAGGTCCCTCTCTGCTGCGCAGTTAGTCTAAGCCCTAGGAATGCAAGTCAGTTATACTTTTCACATAAAGAAAAATAAAATAAGGAAAGGAATAGGGGAAAGCGATATTTATTGCAAGAGTCAGCAGCCAGATTAGTGTCATACCAAGTGTGCAGGAGCTTGAATAGCTGGCTCCCTCTCACCAAGGGGGCTGACTCTTGCTTTCCTGCTTCCTTCATTTCTTCTGTCTCCTCCAGGGTGCACCCCTATTTCTCATATTATTGACTAAGAGCAGGCCCTGTCACCCTCTGACTCTGGATCCTCTTCCCTCCCTAGAGTTTGAGAAGGCTTTATGCCGCCCTGGCCCTGATGTAGTAATCTGTGATGAGGGACACCGCATCAAAAACTGCCAGGCCAGCACCTCACAGGCTCTGAAGAATATCCGCTCTCGCCGCCGGGTGGTGCTGACTGGGTACCCTCTGCAGAACAACCTCATTGAGTACTGGTGCATGGTGGACTTTGTGCGCCCAGACTTCCTTGGCACTCGGCAGGAGTTCAGCAACATGTTTGAACGCCCTATCCTGAATGGGCAGTGTATTGACAGCACACCTCAGGATGTGCGCCTCATGCGGTACCGGAGCCATGTCTTGCACAGTCTTCTGGAGGGCTTTGTGCAGAGGTGAGCCATCCTCGGGGTCTTGCTTCCTGAATTTTCAGAGGGCCCTGTTGCCAAAGGCATGCCAAGCCTGTTTTACAGGATGGGGTGTTGGAATAGGAGGGCCCCTTCCTAGGGGCAGTAGTAAAACTTTGCTTCCTGCGACAAGCTAGCAGATGGTGGATATCCACTGTTTCAGTTATCTGAAAGTTTGGCAGAGAAGTGCTTCTCTCAAAAGTTATCTTTAAAGGTCTTGGAGATACCTTTCTTACTTGCTGAGAAAAGCAAGAAAAAGCTACCATTCTGCTGACTTGGGTGGAAGACTAGAAGTGGTTCTAGGGGTATGGCCTTACCAGTTTTGGTATCTCAGTAGGTATGCCTTAGGCTAGTTTAAAGCAGTCCCCTAATTTTCCCTTCTTGAGATGGCATATGTTGCAAAAGCTCAGAGAGGCAGCCCAAATTCGAATAAGAACCTCAAGTTCCCCTGTCTCTGTCATGCAGTCAGACATGACCTGGGACAGGTCATTCTGCCTCTTAGTGTTAGTTTTCATCCTTCAGGTGAGTTTCTTCTTGGTAGTGGTTGAACTTCGCTGCATTGTTGCACGGCTGCAGTGCATGTTGAGATCCTCAAGAGGGAGCTGTGGTAGGAGTGCAAAGGGCTCTGTTTTTATTTTGTGCTGACCCATCCTGGTCACACTACCTTGCCACTTCTGATGTGTTTGCCTCCGTAGGAGAGGCCACACTGTGCTGAAGATTCATCTCCCTGCCAAGGAAGAAAACGTGATCCTTGTGCGGCTCTCCAAGATCCAGCGAGATTTGTACACACAGTTCATGGATCGCTTTCGGGACTGTGGTACCAGTGGCTGGCTGGGGCTGAACCCCCTTAAGGCTTTCTGCGTGTGTTGCAAGGTGCATTGGGGCCTCAGGGAAGATTGAGATGGGGATTAAGGATGCACATGGTCCCAAGTGAGTTACTCCTACTAAGAGTCTTCAATAAAGGAAGACTAAAGTGAGAGGGGGCCACCTCAGTTCACTGCACTGGAGGTTTAGGGGCTCCAAGGAGAGAGGTGCTGGTGGTGTACCACACAACTCCTAGAGGTGCCATTCACACAGTGTAATATAACTGATGCTCCCTGCCGTGTGCACTGCAGCTGAATAACATGTTATACCAAATTTGAAAAATCAGTTCCTTTATCACTGATTTTTTTCACTTAGAAAAGGGGGTTGATGGAAGAGTATTGTAGGGCAGCATTTTTGACTGCTAGCATAATCAGAATCAAAGAGATATATAGCTTAGACAAGTTATTAGGGGTACCTTCCATTGCATTCCATACTTAATCAGATAGAGACCTCTCATTCTTTTGTTGAGATTTGTACACACAGTTGTCTGTTTCATTGACTTTATACCTCTACCTCTGGCTACTCTTCAGCAGACCTATTAGGTATTATTCTTAATTGACCATTTCTTTAAAAAGTCAGCAGGAGGTTATGTGTCTGGGGACAGGAGGTTTCCAAATATTTCTTTTGTAGCCAAAGTCCTGGATCAGGACCAGGAAACTAAGGCAAATGAGGTCTGTGATGATGCTTTGGTGTCACTGCATCCTTCCTATTCCTTTCCTCTCTTCTCCTGGGAGTTCTCAACTCTTGCTAGGAATACTCCCTGAAATGATATGTGATTGGTTTGCCTTAAGTCAGATGGATTTTGTCTATAGTTTTATACAGTAGCAGATTGTAGCCACACTGTGAAACTGGAACATTCTTGCTCTTATTTGAATAAGAATGTCAAAAAGGTTTGTGACAGCTTTTTTGATTATGTAGCAAACATACTTACTGGTCTGGCTCCTGGTATGAATGCTCCCATTCATGTGTCATGGTGATCATAACTGGTAATCAAAGCAAATATGCAGGCTCCTTGGCTGTGAAGGGCTCTGACTAATTTTTGATGTGACTGTGTGTGCTGTGGGAGGTGTGTATTTAAGCAAGTATGTGTTTCCAGATTCCCTGGGACACCCTTAGAGTATTCTTTGTCCTGTGGCTCCCCTCCCTTTCCTTGAACCTCAGATCTGGAATCACCCTGATGTGCTGTATGAAGCCCTTCAGAAGGAGAGCTTGGCCAATGAGCAGGACCTAGACGTGGAAGAGCTTGGCTCTGCGGGGACCAGTGCCCGCTGTCCAACACAGGGAACAAAAGGCAAGGGAGAGGATAGCACCTTGGCTTCCTCAATGGGAGAGGCAACCAATAGCAAGTTCCTACAGGGTGTTGGCTTCAACCCTTTCCAGGAGCGAGGCAACAACATCGTCACATATGAGTGGGTGAGTCAAACAGATCCTTCAGGAACCATAAACTACTGAAGAGAAGGGATGGTACAAGCCCTACCTGGGGAGAGGGTAGGGATGCATGGCTAGGGTCTCTGTATGTAATTATAAGGGTACCAGTGAGCTGCTGCCTTGGAAGGGAAGAATTTTATTTCTAGTGATCTGGCCTTGGACTGGCTCCAAGCTGCCTTGTTTTTCTCTTGCAGGCCAAGGACCTTCTGACTAATTACCAGACTGGAGTCTTAGAAAACTCTCCCAAGATGGTACTGCTTTTCCACCTGATTGAGGAAAGTGTAAAGCTTGGGGACAAGATCCTTGTGTTTAGGTAGGATGAGAAACTTCCAGTTGATTCTGTGTGTCTATGGTAAAGAATGACAAACCACCATAGAACAAGACCAATTAAGGCCCACCAGCCCTCACCAAGTGCTTATTGTGAGGACCTTCTTGCATGTTAGGTCTGTCTTTGGAGTTCCTTTCATTGCCCAATTTGATTTCTCCACAGAGAACAATTTAGAACCTTAGGTTAGCATTGGAGTTAAATCCTTCAAACTCTGGCCTATTTTTCTTCACTTTGAGAGCTAAGAATAGTTTTTACATTTTTATTTTTGTTTTATTATTATTATTATTTTGAGACGGAGTTTTGCTGCTGTTGTCCAGGCTGGAGTGCAATGGCATGATCTCGACTCACCACAACCTCTGCCTCCTGAGTTCAAGCAATTCTCCTGCCTCAGCCTCCTGAGTAGCTGGGACCACAGGCATGAGTCACCATGCCTGGCTAATTTTGCATTTTTAGTAGAGAAGGGGTTTTTTTTATGTTGGTCAGGCTGGTCTTGAACTCTCGACCCCAGGTGATCTGCCCTCCTTGGCCTTCCAAAGTGCTGAGATTACAGGCATGAGGCACTGTGCCCGGCCAGTTTTTACATTTTTAAAGGCTTATAGAAAACATACAGAGAATATGCACCAGAGACACTACATGGTCAAGAAATATTTGCTGTCTATCTTTTTACAGAAAATGATTGCTGAACCTTGGTCTAATCTGCTTCTGTCCCTCCCCAATCTTTTATTTTAGTTTTAAGCTTTGTCCCTAAGACCAAATAAGTGATGTGGTTTGCTCCAGAGTTACATTCTCAGTCTAGCAAGAACTTTGAGTCTCATTAAGGTTTGACTTCCCAGGAAAACAAAGTTGATTGCTTCTCCTCCTTTATTCTAACCAGATTATGCTCCAAGAAGAGCCAAGTGGCAGAAGCCTGGCTCAGGAACCTCAGAGTGAGGGCTTCCACATCTGACACACTTTGAGAGGACAGCAGTGATTCTGGCTTGGGGAGAGCCTAGTGTTGATTTTATGAATCACTTCTTTGTTTTGTTTTGTTTTGTTTTGTTGAGACAGAGTCTCGCTCTGTTGCCCAGGCTGCAGTGGAGTGGTGGGATCTCAGCTCACTGCAACCTCTGACTCCTGGGTTCAACCGATTTTCCTGCCTCAGCCTCCCGAGTAGCTGAGATTACAGGTCTGTGCCACCATGCCTGGCTAATTTTTGTATTTTTAGTAGAGATGTGGTTTCACCATGTTGGTCAGGCTGATCTTGAACTCCTGATCTGCCTGCCTCCCAAAGTGCTGGGATTATAGGTGTGAGCCACTGCGTGCCCAGCCGATTTTATGGATCACTTCTAAGGACACTGGCTCTCTGCATATCTTGGAAGCAGTTGAGTGATTTTGTCTCTCTAGTAAAACTCAGTCATATCTGATGTATATTCATGCAGTGGTAGTACTTAATGCTGAATGCTATTTGTTACTTTGCATTGAACTAAACCCCAGAAATTTTGAATTGTAGAAGTGAAGAATGAAGAGAGCATTTTTTCAATGTGGTGGTAGTAGTAAGTATGTGGATGACTGTGCTCCCATTATGTGCTAGGAAGGATACCCTTGGTTGTTCTTGGCAAAGTTACCTCTTTTTTTTTTGAGATAGAGTTTTGCTCTTGTTGCTCAAGCTGGAATGTAGTGGCACAATCTTGGCTCACTGCATCCTCCACCTCCCAGGTTCAAGCGATTTTCCTGTTTCAGCCTCTTGAATAGCTGGGACTATAGGCACATGCCACTATGCCAGGCTAATTATTTTTGGATTTTTAGTAGAGATGGGGTTTCATCATGTTGGCCAGGCTGGTCTTGAACTTCTGACTTCAGATGATCTGCCCACCAAGCCCAACCAACAGCTGACTCTTATCTTCTCTTATCAGTGGTAGGTTGTGGGAGATCACATTGTCAGAAGGTTGCACAAGAGTATGGAACTATTGGGAACAATGTTCCCTTGATTGTGGGAGACATCTGAACCAAACGTTTTCTGTTTTAGCCAGAGCCTTTCCACCTTGGCTCTCATTGAGGAATTCCTTGGAAAACGAGAAGTACCCAGTCCACCTGGTGCTGAGGGGCAAGGAGCACAGAAGTGGGTTCGAAATGTCAGCTACTTCCGTGAGTTCATTGCTGCATTGTTCTTGAAGCCTAAGCAAGGTCTGCTTAAGGATCTCCTTTTCTTCTCTGTCTTTCTACACTCCATCAAATGCATAGGAATATTTGTGATTAGCCAAGGAGCAGGGGGATACTAAGAACCAGTTGTTGTGTACAAGGTACTGTAGTACTAGGGGTTGGGAGGATTGAGAGAGATGGGAGAGTATAGAGATATAGAAGGCATAGGCCTTCTCTTCATCTGAAATGTGACAATTCAAGAACAATTTAATGCTCTAACTGGGGTTCTAAGGAGGATAGAATCACTGTGGTAAGGATGATTGGAGAAGGCTTCTCAGAAATGGGGAGGATTTGAATATACAGGTCTAGTGTGGCCTGAAGATCATTCCAGGCTGAAAGATCAGAGTGAGCACAAGCCTAGATTATGCATTCTCTGTGGGGGAGATAATACTTGAAGGGGATGAACATTGTATGTGTGTGGTGTTTTTTTTTTGTTTTTTTTTTGTTTTTTTTTTTTGGTGGGGATGAAAATCTTAATTTTTAAAATGTGTAAGTCACAGATATATATTAACAGATATACAGTATATCTGTGGTATTAAATTTCATGGAGGACATAGTGTCATTGGGGGAAAAAATTATTCCTTAGTGGGGTGGTAATGAAAAAAAAGTTGAGAAGTATAGACCTCAGCACTGTTGACATTTGGGCCAGATAATTCTTTGTTGTTTAAGGGGCTGTCCTGTACATTGTAGGACATTTAGTAGCATCCCTGGTTTCTACTCACTAGATGGCAGTAGTATCTCTCAGTTTTGACAACCAAAATATCTCCAGACATTGCCAAATGTCCTGTGGGGAGTGGGTGTGTGGAGAAATCACCGTAATTGAGAACCACTGCCCTGATGGAAGGATTTAGAGAATTGGAGGTTCAGGGAGTAGCAAGAAGACCCACAACACAAGGTCTGGCTTAGAGCTTGCCCTATGAATCAGTGGTGAGGCTGTGCTTGGAAATGTTGGAACTCAGGTTGGAAAGGTAGGTTGGGGTCCTGACATAGAACCCCAGTACCAGGCAATTAAACTATTGCTTCCTACAACCAGTTTTCCATGTGGTATTTCATGCCCTTAGTTTTGCCCTTTGCTCAAGATGACAGGTGTTGCCCTTACTCACCATTTATGCTTCTTCTTAACTGAAGGCTATTTTTTTTTTGAGATGGAGTCACACTCTGTGACCAGGCTGGAGTGTAGTGACAGGATCTCAGCTCACTGCAGCCTCCATATCCCAGGTTCAAGTGATTCTTCTGCCTAAGCCTCCTGAGTAGCTGAGACTACAGGTGTGTGCCACCACACCCAGCTAATTTTTGTATTTTTGGTTGAGACCGGGTTTCACCCTGTTGGCCAGATGGTCTCAATCTCTTGACCTCATGATCCACCCGCCTCCCAAAGTGCTGGGACTACAGGCATGAGCCACATGCCTGGTCCTGAAGGCTATTTTTTTCCCCCTCTTTTGAGGTTTCCTCCTTTTATTCATGTGTTCCATCCTACTGTTCTAGATGTATTTTCTTTATATCTCCTTATAGCAAGTTCTTAGCCTCAGGAGCTTGTTAAAAATGCAGATTCCTGGTGGAGGAACATCATCTGTATCAAAACACAAAACCCTTAGTCCTTCTTCACTCACCAGGACTCACAGGGCTGAGGCAGAGAAGTCACCCTGAGCCAGTATTTTACAAAGTCCCTAGGTGATTAATATACACTCCAGGGTCTAGGATCCTTGGCTTTAGAATTGACTTAAGATACTAAAGGGAAGAAATACAGTTTATAATCCATGGTGCATGTGAGAATCACCTGGGGATATTTTCAAATTATAGATGCCTGGGCCTCACTGTAGACCTATGATATGTCCAAGGGGTCGGATCTGAGCGCTGTTGTGTTTCTGTTTGTTTTGCTCTTTAAAACACATTTGCCCAGTGATTTGGCTGTGTATCCTTTCTCTAATATATCCACTTATGGGTTTCCTTCCTTCCTAGGGCTAGATGGTAGCACCCCTGCCTTTGAGAGGGAGCGACTCATTAATCAGTTCAATGATCCCAGCAACCTCACCACCTGGCTGTTCCTTCTCTCTACAAGGTGAGTGGATCCTGAGAGGGGAGGTCAAAGGAGTCTGTTCAGGCAGTTGGCCACCTGTGCTGGTCCCCCAAAACTTCATCCAAGTTCCATCAGAAGAGATCAGCTCAGGTTTGTAACTTGTTTTTGGGGTCAGAGAGGGGACTTCAAAAGGAAATTAGGTTAGCAGGGCAGTTGTGATAGAGTCATAAAATTCTTTGAGACCTTCATTAACAATGGTTGTGGCTGATGCCTGTAATCCCCGCACTTTGGGAGGCCAAGATGGGAGGATTGCTTGATCCCAGGGGTTCAAGACCAGCCTGGGCAACACAGTCTTGTCTCTACAAAATCATCAAACAATTAGCTGAGTGTGGTGGCATGTGCCTGTGGTCCCAGCTACTTGGGAGGCAGAGGAGGGAGGATGGCCTGAGCCTGAGAGGTCATAGCTGTAGTGAGCTGTGATCGAGCCACTACACTCCAGCCTAAGTGACAGAGTGAGACCCTGTCTCATTTTAAAAAAACAAGCAAACAACATCAATTAAAAAACCCAAGGGTTTAATTGGCTTTTCTCTCAGGAGTGTTCTGAGGCTTAGATGATGTGATGAATGTGAAAGTGCTTTAAAAAGTAGAAAGTGTAAGGTAACTGTAAAAGGCTGATGTCATTGTCTCATGCCAAGCAGCTTGAAGTCTGTGCTGCCTTCTGCCATCATAATGCCCTTGGGACAGTGTGAGCCAGTCATTTTCCTAAGCTGTTACACTAAAAATAGTGGAAACATCTGTGTGCAGAAGTTTCCCCTCATCAGGGAACATCACTCCAAGGCCAGGATGTGAGGCCTTATTTGTTACAGAGAAGAGGAGAGTGAGTTTTCTTTCTGAGCTGGTAGACACTTTCATGTTAGATTTCAGGGCACAATTTTCAGTGCTTGAGGAATGTACTGTTTATCAGCAGGACAGTAAAATCCTTGAGTATGTTGTGCTTAGGGCTTAGGACAGAGTAATATTGGGGTAGAAGTCATAGACGGCAAAACTGATTTGAAAACCTTTTTTAAGATTAAAGGCTCTGTGATTGTTTGCTTGTCTTTTAAAGGGCTGGATGCCTGGGTGTGAATCTGATTGGTGCCAACAGAGTGGTGGTGTTTGATGCTTCCTGGAACCCTTGCCATGATGCCCAGGCAGTATGTCGGGTATACCGTTATGGTCAGAAAAAGCCCTGTTACATCTATCGACTTGTGGCTGATTACACTCTTGAAAAGAAGATCTATGACCGTCAGATTTCCAAGCAGGGCATGTCAGGTGGGCCATCTTCCAGACTTCAGAGAGGCACATCTATACAGGCTACCATCCTTTTAGTATCAAGGAGGGGAGAGGAGGAACAGGATATGTGAACAAAGGCAGGCTTCGAATTATAGAAAGCCAACATTTCCTCCTATCTCATTCTGATTCAAGTAATTGTTTAAAAGGTGATTGACCTCAACTAATCGAATATGAGTTTAATGATAACAGCCAAGCTCATTATACAAGTTTCTCTTATATGATGTTTCCAATGTCACCAGGACCTCAGACTTAGTCTTTGACTTTCAGATATGGGATGACTTTTCATTATTATTGACAGTTATGCCACTTCTGTCTGTTGACCTTTACAGTTTTTAATGCCATGTGCTGACTTTGACTTTCTCCATGACTTTATCTAGATCGGGTGGTGGATGATCTAAATCCAATGCTGAACTTCACCCGGAAGGAGGTGGAAAACCTACTGCACTTTGTTGAGAAGGAGCCAGCTCCCCAAGTTTCCTTGAACATAAAGGGAATCAAGGAGTCAGTCCTGCAACTGGCTTGTCTGAAGTACCCTCACCTCATCACCAAGGTAAGAACTTGGCATGCATGCAGTCCCCAGAATGGCAGTCTCTCTGTCAAGGGAGGCTTGTCTTGTAAGCTTGTTTTCTTCATCTGAGGTGATGTTTCATGCAGGTGACTTGGACTCAAGGGCTTCTCTTTCTTGCCCCATTCAGTGCCCCTCCCTGCCCCCAACCACTTACCCCCTCCCCTAATCTGGTCCTGGGAATGCTAAGGTTAGCCATGTGTAATAATTTGGCCAGTGTGAGTCTTCTTAGCAGAAAGAGGGGGAAAGTTCCGAAAATGTAGTCTGTTAATTCTCTGAACTCCCGCATTCCTTTGATATGGAAGGCAGGCTTAGATGTCTAAAGCTGGTACTAGGTTAGAGTTATAAATTATACTCTTGACAGAAAGATAATAAACCCTCCTGTGTATTTCTGAGCAGTCTCTTGACTAGCACTGGAGACAACCAGCTCTTTTATTGGTTTTAAAGTAAGGCTCATTATCCATCAGCCATATTCATAACTAAATCAGCATCCTCCTGTGTCCCTAGGAGCCTTTTGAGCATGAGTCATTGCTCCTCAACCGAAAGGATCACAAGCTGACCAAGGCTGAGAAAAAAGCAGCAAAGAAAAGCTATGAGGAAGACAAACGCACATCAGTCCCCTATACCCGCCCATCGTATGCGCAGTATTACCCTGCCAGCGATCAGAGCCTGACCAGCATCCCCGCCTTCAGCCAGAGAAACTGGTGAGTCACTGAAAGGGGAGGGTTTACTGCTGGGCCAGGCACAAATACCTTTCAACTTGTTCATATTTTAAACAAAGGCAGAGCCTACAACTTGTTCCTTGGCTGCTGTGAATTGACAGGCTCTGCTCTAGGGTGGGTGTGAAAGCAGTTCAGTAGCCCTGGTGTTTTAAATGGTTCTGGTTTTGACTGCCCTGGCTGGAAGAGTGAGCTGCTAGCCTTGTGACCCAGGAGAGTCCTTCTGGACACCTGGATAGGAGTCGGGGATAAAGCTTCCCAAAACACAGGCCCAGCCATTCCACACAGGTGCATCTTACCCCTAGCACATTAGTCCTCGGCTTCACTTAGCAGTGATGTTCAAGGATGAAGACTCTGTTCTCTCGATTACAGTCAGGGAATCCTGCTGCTCCTAAGGGGATTTCATTCTTTTTTTTTTGGCCAATCAGTTTGAGCTTATGAGGTTGCTCAGGTTAGCCTTGAACTGATGACCTCGCCTTCGCGAGCGCCATGACCTCCAGCGGGAGCTACTTCGGACCCCGGGGATTTCATTCTTAAATGGAGTGACTGTGTCGTGATCGGAACAAAAAATTTCTGTTTTGAGTACAACATCTAGACTTGTTCAGAATATTAACAGAATAGAAGCCAACTGCTAAGCAGTGAGAGAGGCTCCTTGTAAGATAGTACAGAACAGTTAGCTAGGTTTAATTTTTTTTTAATTTTAAGACAGTGCCTCACAGCTCTCACCCTTCATTTACTTATCAGATCAGCTACCTAATTCAGTACTTTCTATTTTTAATTATTTGATTATCTTGATTAAAAATAATTATTTTACTTGATGGGAACAGATTTAAATTTTCTTTTTCTTTTTTGAGACAGGGTGTCACTTTGTTGCCCAGGCTGGAGTGCAGTGGTGTGATCACAGCTCCCTGCAGCCTTGACCTACTGGGCTCAAGCGATCCTCCCTGCTCAGCGTTCTGAGTAGCTGGGACTACAGGTGTGCATCACCAGGCCTGGCTAATTAAAAAAATTTTTTTTTTTGGTAGAGATGTCTACTATGTTGCCCAGACTGGTCTTGAACTCCTGGGCTCAAGTGAACTTTCCATATCAGCCTCCCAAAATGTTGTCATTATAGGCACGAGCCACTGTGCCCAGCCTAAATTTTTTTTTCTTATTAAGATCCTCTCCATGAATACCCAATGTTTAGAGGGGAAAAAGAAAAGATCCTCATGTTAAAAATAAACAAAAAAACTTGACAAATTTGGTTCTAGAGGAAATGAAATTTTGCAAGTTTTTGAAAACTTGCCAAATGAGGTTCTGCCCACTAGTCTCATGTAAAGTTTTAGATAAGACACTGATTTTTAATGAGTGGATTTGTTGCCTTTTTTTTTTTTATTTTTCGGGGATGGAGTCTCACTCTGTTGCCCAGGCTGGAGTGCAGTGGTGCAATCCCAGCTCACTGCAACCTCCACATCCCAGGTTCAAGTGATTCTCGTGCCTTAGCCACCCAAGTAGCTGGGATTACAGGTGCACACCACAATGCCTGGCAATTTTTTTGTATTTGTAGTAGGGATGGGGTTTCACTACGTTGGCCAGGCTGGTCTCCTGAACTCCGGTGATCCACCTGCCTCAGCCTCCCAAAGTGCTGGGATTGCCGGCGTGAGCCACCACACCCAGCCATTTGTTGCTTTTTTTTTTCTTTTTTAATAGCAAATTGAAGATGCTTTCAAGTAGAAAGTCAATGTTTTGCTAGACATGGTAGCACATGCCTATATTCTCAGCCTCTTGGGAGGATGAGGTGGGAGAATTGCTTGAGTCCAGGAATTGGAGACCAGCTTTGACAACATAGTGGGACACAATCTCAAAAGAGAAAGTCACTCTCTTTTAAAACTTTCATACTTCATTTCTGTCATTTCCCAAGATAGTATTGCTTGGGAATGGTCTCTTCTCTTTTTCTCCACCCTTCCTTTTTTTTCTCTCTCTTTCTCTTGAGCTTTTCTGTGTAACATCAGGAGTAGACTAAACCTGAGCCTAGTGAGAGAAAAGCCACATGAAGAGAAGATGTGACAAATAGTTCAGGCTGGCTTTAAGGAGATGTCAGCTTTGTTTCTGGCTTAGCTCTGGCCCTATGGAGGCACCAGCTTCTCCTAGCATTTGATGAGTTGTATCATGATCCTGCTGAGTTTTTTTTTTTTGAGACGGAGTCTTGCTCTGTCGCCAGGCTGGAGTGCAGTGGCGCAATCTCGGCTCACGGCAACCTCCGCCTCCTGGGTTCAAGTGATTCTTCCGCCTCCCTGCTGAGTTTTTTATCCACATGGGTACATGCAAGGAATACTTCCTACCCAAATTCTTAGTCTTAGCCCCTGTAGGGAATGGGACATGGTCTGGGTTTCTGTCACACTGATACTTGACCAGGGCCTCTGACTCCTGCCAAGCCATTCTAGGAAGACATTGGGGAAACAGGCCAGATAGCACAAGTCTGAGGCCCATCTGGGAACTTGGAGGTCCACAGGGACCAAGGGCTGCTCAATGGGGCCCTCAAAAACCTAAGAGAAATGTGATTGAGGAGTCTTGCAGACCAGCTCCAACAGCAGAGTGGTATAAAAGTGTTATTTTATGTGCCAATCTTTAGTCAGATGAGGAAGAACATACCAGTCCAAGGGTTGCCCGCCCCCCCACCTGCCAGGCCCAAAGACCAAAGATTCGGACTTCAGAAAGCTTGTAGACAGGGACTTTTCAAAAATCTTAAATCAGTAAAAGCCTGTCTTTTGTACACAGTGCTTTGGCTGCTGCTGCTTTTTTGTCATCATGACTGGAGGGGCACTTTGGAGGTTGGGCCAGGCAGGAGCTAGGAGGAACTCAATGAAAAGTAATGCAGAAGAGAGAGAGGTGTCTGTATTATTATTGAGACTCAAGGTTTCAGGGAGAGAGTAAAGATGGTTAAATTTGGGACAGACTATTTTTTCTGGGAGAAAGTAAAGAGGTTAAAGTTGTGGCATTACATGGCCCCCTTTTCCAGGGTGAGTGGGGGAAATTCTGCCCATCTCAACTTAGCATATGCTGTGGTCTGGAGAGCTTTTCCTGCCTTATTGCATCTTGACAGCTTCCTGACTTCCCTTCAGGGACTAAATTTTAATGTAGGTAGTCCAGATTCTAGAGGAGCAAATATTGTCTCCCATCTCCAGAAAGCATTATTCCACCTACATCTGATTCTCCTTAGACTTTGACAGACTTTTTCCCTCTGTCTCTTTTGCTGCAACTGAGTCCTGCCTTCTAGTCTCCTTTTGAGTTGACCAGACCCTGCAAGTTCTTCTGATCCTTCTCTGAGCAGCAACTGGTGGTATAGAATGGGGCAGTCTGAAGAGGCTCTGTAGCCTTTGGAGAGAGGCAAGAGTTGTTCTGCCAAATTCTCTTAGTGTCCTTATCTTTCTCTTATAGGCAGCCAACTTTGAAGGGTGATGAAAAGCCTGTGGCCAGTGTTCGTCCTGTACAGTCCACCCCCATCCCTATGATGCCCCGGCATGTCCCACTCGGAGGCAGCGTAAGCTCTGCTTCCAGCACAAATCCATCCATGAACTTTCCAATCAACTACTTGCAGCGTGCGGGAGTCCTTGTGCAGAAGGTGGTCACCACAACAGGTGGGAACTCCTAGGTTCTGTGGCAGAGGTGCTGTCCCTTTTAAAATTACTTTGTTCATTTAGAAAATAATGTATTAAACACCTTTTGTATTTTTGGCCTTGCTATCTTGGCACTGTTGGCAAAAACAGGGAAGACAACAGTTGCTGGTCTTAAGGAATTTGGATTCTAGTGAAATATCTTAAGAATAACAACACAGAACTGGGTTTTCTTGGATTTGGTCGGTGGTATAGACTCTGAGCACTGCAGGAATTGTTGAAATGTCACTGGAACTCAGGATTGGTCTCAGGTTCTTATAGAGGTGTGAATATGCTGAGCCCTGCCTGACTGTAGAGCCATCTGAGTATAAAAGACAGCTGTCAACCTTTGTACATAATTAGAAGACCTGAATTGTCACTTGCCTCTTCCTTTTCGAGTTTGATATAAATTGAGCATGTGAGCTAGTCAGCAGTGGTGGGAGGTAGCCAACCCATCCACTCCAGGAGTTGTTTCTGTGATTCAGTATGATTAGGAAGGAAAACATTTTGTGATCCTGTTTTTATCTGGTTATTTAGCAACATTTATAATATATAAAATTTTCCTTTTTTTTTTTGAGATGGACTCTTGCTCAGGCTGGAGTACAATGGCACTATCTTGGCTCACTGCAACCTTTGCCTCCCGGGCTCAAGCAATTCTCCCACCTCAGCCTCCCAAGTAGCTAGGATTACAGGAGTGCACCACCATACCCCAGCTAATTTTTTTTTATTTTAGTAGAGATGGGATTTCACAATGTTGCCTAGGGTGGCTCAAGTGATTCTCTGGCCTCAGCCTCCCAAGTAGCTAGGATTCAGGCATGCGCCACCATGCCCGAATAATTTTTTTTTTTTATTTTAGTAGAGATGGGGTTTTACCATTTTGCCCAGGGTGGTTTTGAACTCCTGAGCTCAGGCAGTTTGCCCACCTCTGCCTCCCAAAATGCTGGGATTATAGGCGTGAGCCACTGTGCCTGGCCAATACATAAATTTTAATGAAAATGTCTTAATTGATTTTTCTAAGTAAAAAAATTGAAACAAATGAAAGAGCCCCTTTCTTTCTGGGAAAATACTCTTTCCCAGGTGTGGGATAATGCCAGCCAGGAAAAAGATGAGGCCATTTTTGGAGCCTAAAGTGATGTGGAGCAGATATATGCAAATAGTTTGGGGAGGAGGAAAAAAAATATATAGAAACAACTATCTGAACTAAAACATTTTTCACACCAAAAACTATGAATTTCTAATTAAATCAAGGGAAATTGATTGCAAAGATGATCAGCTCAGATTTCTGACAAGGTTCCTGTTTTCATGGCATCCTTTGTTTAGATGATTGTGAAAGACCCTGCTTGCTTCACCTTCCTTGGTTCTGGATCTCTGTCCCACTGAGAGGCTGTAGGGAAACCAATGAAGAACTGGGGTAGATGTGGGACTTCACAGTTTTCCCCTTCTCCTAAAGTCAGGTCCTGTTTAATCTGAATTTAAGATCTGTGTTTTTCTTAGATATTGTTATTCCTGGACTCAACAGCACCACAGATGTACAGGCAAGAATTAATGCTGGTGAGAGCATCCACATCATCCGTGGGACAAAAGGTGAGAGCTTGACCAAGGACTTTTCCCCTGCCTTTGGTTGAGAGTGCTGAGCTGAGAAGAAGAATAAATGTATATGGCTTGAGCTACACGGGGCACAGGAATCATCCCATTAGGATATCACATTTGGGAACTGAATGAGAAAATAGCATCTGTAGGAGCTTAGTAGAGTTGGGTTGAGCCCAATAGGATATTAGTCAGTGGTTTAAAAGAAGGAAATTAGCATCCCTACATTACTGTATCCTGCTGTCATTTTTATGAGAATCTTGGGACAAGTAGATACAAGGAGACCAAAATTGGAGGGAAAGAGCGGTAGAATGGGTTATAAGCCTACATATATTTACCCACTTGCTTGAAGCAGGGTGGGGGTCCTCTGATAGGAAATATATTATGTGGATGAATTACACATGGGTTGCATGGTAGAATTTTTGCATATGGTAATTTTAAACGTTCACATCTGCCTCTGTCCTCCTTATAGAGGGATATGAGGTTGGTGGAATAAACAATCTGGGCTAAACAGTGTTGAGACACAGTCTAAGCTTGTTTTTTCCACCTCTTTTCTGTACCCATATCTAACCAAGCCTGTTTTACATATTAGCCTCTAAGCCCCATCATTGTGTGAGGCTTTTTGAGGCTTTTTATTCAGTAAGGAGATTTTGCCCTAGCCTCTATTGGGTTTAGAGTACCTTTGAGGTTAGTGAAAAAGTGCCATGAAATACCCAGAATCACAGAGAACACCATTCCCAGCCTCCTTACTGGATTCATCCTAGTCTAAACCCAGCCCCCTTTACTGCTCTTTTCCTAGTGTATAGCAGGGGTCAGCAAACTGTCCCATGTGCCAAATCCAACCTGCTACCTGTTGTAATACCTGCAAGATAAGAATGAGTTTTACATTTTCAATTGGTTGGGAAAAAAAGTCAAAAGAGTAATATTTTGTGACATATGAAATTATATGAATTTCGCATTTCAGTGTCCATAAAGATTTATTGGAGCACAGTCATGTCTAGCTATTTTTGTGTTATAGCAGCAGAATTGAGGAGTTACAACAGAGACCATATGGCTTACAAAGCCCTTATGAAAACTATCTGGCTCTTGTAAAAAAGTTTGCCAACTCCTGGCCTAAAGGCAGCACTGACATTCAAGGAGGTTGATCAAATGACATACCCAAGGCTGGAGAGAAGATAGATTAGTGCCTTGGGAATAGAATGCAGGTCTTTCTTGGATTATTCCTACTAGGGAAGAGAGTATATTGAAGCAATAAGGCTACTTCCTCCCAGATCAAGAGGAGGACCTGGGCCAGAGTACCTGGGAACATAGGATGCCAGCTTCTTCTCTTATTTATTTCTCCATTGCATTTAACCCTTCCTGATATTTTCTGGTGTAAGTCTGTCTCCCTCTCAAGAGACTAAGCTCCATGAGACGGGGCCTTTTTCTGCCTTGTGCATTCTATTGTCTAGAACAGTGCCTGGCACATGGTTGTCATGTAACTGATATTTGTGAAGTAAATGAATAATTATGAGTCCATAGCTCAGTCACCCCACTCCTTATTTCAGGGTTCTTGGGAGATGGTATATTACCTAATTGTTTAGCTATGTACAAGCCCCTGGCATGTAGCCTGGAGTTTCCCAGGGTTGACTGTATTGCATTTCTGCTTCTAACTGTCTTCCTTATGTCTGTACTTAGGGACGTACATCCGTACCAGTGATGGACGGATCTTTGCTGTCCGGGCAACTGGCAAACCAAAGGTTCCTGAAGATGGTCGAATGGCTGCCTCAGGTAGGATAGCTTTCACTTTCCAAATAATATTTGTTTTCTTTGTTTTGGTTAGGTATTGTGAATAGATAATATGTACATGGTTCACAATTCAAAATGTACAGAAAGGGGTAAAGTGAAAAGTAAGTTTTTCCTCCATCATGGTTGCAACCATTCATTGCTCCTCCTTGTGGGTGGTGTTCTCATTGGTTTTTCAGAGATATTTTCTACATTGTACAGGATTGTGTGTGCATGAGTGTGTGTGTGTGTGTGTGTGTGCGCGCGCCCGCACACCCGCACATGCACAATGCATATATATAATAGGTACATACATTTTCTTTGTATTTTTTTTTTTAATTGAGACAAAATCTTGCTCTGTCATCCAGGCTGGAGTCCAGTGGTGCAATCTCAGCTCACTGCAGCCTCTGCCTCCCTGGTTCAAATGATTCTCCTGCCTCAGCCTCCTGATTAGCTGGGATTACAGGTGCGTGCCACTACGCCCAGCTAATTTTTGTATTTTTAGTAGACATGGGGTTTCACCATGTTGGCCGGGCTGGTCTCAAACTCCTGACCTCAAGTGATCCACCTACCTCGGCCTCCCAAAGTGCTGCAATTACAGGTGTGAGCCACTGTGTCCGGCCAATTTTCTTTTCTTCTTTTTTTTTGAGATGGAGTTTCACTCTTGTTACCCAGGCTGGAGTGCAAAGGCACGATCTTGGCTCACCACAACCTCCGCCTCCTGGGTTCAAGCAATTCCCCTGCCTCAGCCTCCCGAGTAGCTGGGACTACAGGCTCACGCCACCATGCCCAGCTAATTTTTGTATTTTTAGTAGAGATGGGGTTTCACCATGTTGACCAGGATGGTCTCGATCTCTTGATCTCGTGATCCACCCGCCTCGGCTTCCCAAAGTGCTGGGATTATAGGCGTGAGCCAAGACGCCCGGCCTTTTCTTTTCCTTTTTAAAACAAATGCTAACATACTATAAAATATTACTTACTCCTTTTTTCACTTAGCAGTAATAGCTTATTCCTTATGATTTCTTCTAGAAATGTTCCATTGAAGGTTTTCACAGGATGAGCTATATAACACAATGTATCAACTAGTTCCCTGTCAACATACATTTTGATGATTCTACTCTACCATCACTGACAGTGCTTTTTCACAAAGGTGGTTATAATAGGATATGTTCCTTAAATTGGGATTGCCAGGTCAAAGGGTATATGTGTGGCACATGAACAATGTTAAGAACTCTTGCTAAGTTCCCCTCAGTGGGAGTAGTTCTCAATTATCCTCCCACTCATGAGCTAGAATGTTAGAGGGCTAGAATGCTCTTGTTCCCAGCTTTGTATTATGGAAACTTTAAATTTCCATACTTACAGAAAAGTTGAAAAATATCACCATGAGCACCCATATACCCTGCACCTAGATTTAATGATTGTTAGTTTTCATAAACCTTCTTTCTCTTCCTCCCTTTCTATTGAGTCATTCATAAGTTGAAGACATCATGTCATCTCTTTCATCATGTCATTTTCTCTCTAAATATTTCAACATGCATCTGTTCAGATGAAAGATATTCTGTTTTTTACCCACAATATCATTATTACACTAAAAGAAAAGCGCTAACAATTCCATAAAATGACCTAGTATTCAGGCCAAATTGAGATTTCCCATTTGTCCCAGTTGTCTTTCATAGCTATGGATTTTGTTTTCTTTTTAAATCAGAATGAACTGCTTTTTAGCTTTATTTTCCTCTTCCTCCCACACTGATCACTTTCTCTTACTGTCAGAAAATGCCTGATTAGTTTTAAGAATAATCTCTTAGCATTTCATATCCCTTATCGCATAGGATTTACTTTGGGGTTATTTTGGGCAGGGGGGGGTTCTTTTTTTTTTTTTTGGAGATGGAGTCTTGCTCTGTCACACAGGCTGGAGTGCAGTGGCGCGATCTCAGCTCACTGCAGCCTCCGCCCCCTGAGTTCCAGCAATTCTCCTGCCTCAGCCTCCTGAGTAGCTGGGACTACAGGCGTGTGTCACCATGCCCAGCTAATTTTTGTATTTTTAGTAGAGATGGGGTTTTACCATGTTGGCCAGGATGGTCTTGATCTCCTGACCTCATGATCTGCCTACCTCGTCTTCCCAAATTGCTGGGATTACTGGTGTGAGTCACTGCACCCGGCCAGGATTCACTTTGGTATAGTTTTATAGTTTGGGGAACTGGGGTACAGAAAAATTATATTCCTTGTCATGGATAGACTCGTTTCTGGGATCAAAGAATTTCTTTCTTTGTGACTGGAAAAGGTTGACTGGGTGATGTTGTTTAGACATCAAACAATAGAATTTTGGGGACTACAAGACAGGATTTTTTTTTTTAATGAAGTTTTCTCCTCTACCCTTCTTCTGTCCCTGGCCACTCTGGTTCTCAGTTACCTACATTTTGTCCCCAGGTTCCCAGGGACCTTCTCGCGAGTCCACAAGCAACGGCAGACACAGTGCCTCATCACCCAAAGCCCCCGACCCTGAGGGGCTGGCCAGGCCCGTCTCTCCTGACAGCCCAGAGATCATCAGTGAGCTTCAGCAGTATGCAGATGTGGCTGCTGCCCGAGAATCCCGTCAGAGCTCCCCAAGCATCAATGCCACCCTGCCTGGCCAACCAGCCCAACTTGTGGATAGCAGTGCTGTTCCTGGGACAGCTCTTGGAACTGAGCCTCGACTAGGGGGTCATTGCCTCAATAGTTCCCTCTTGGTGACTGGCCAGCCCTGTGGTGATAGGCACCCAGTGCTAGACTTAAGGGGCCACAAGCGAAAGTTGGCCACACCACCTGCTGCCCAGGAGTCATCCCGCCGGCGGTCCAGGAAGGGTCATCTGCCAGCCCCTGTGCAGCCGTATGAACATGGGTATCCAGTGTCTGGCGGGTTTGCCATGCCACCCGTCTCCTTAAACCATAACCTCACCACCCCCTTCACCTCCCAGGCTGGGGAGAACTCCCTGTTTATGGGCAGTACCCCCTCCTACTACCAGCTCTCCAATTTGCTGGCAGATGCCCGCCTGGTGTTTCCAGTGACTACTGACCCTCTGGTGCCAGCAGGCCCCGTCAGTTCCTCTTCCACGGCTACCTCAGTCACTGCCAGCAACCCCTCCTTCATGCTCAACCCTTCTGTGCCAGGGATACTACCCAGCTATTCACTCCCATTCTCACAGCCACTCCTGTCCGAGCCAAGGATGTTTGCGCCTTTTCCTTCCCCTGTCTTGCCCAGCAACCTTTCGCGGGGCATGTCTATCTATCCAGGCTACATGTCCCCACATGCAGGCTACCCAGCTGGTGGCCTCCTTCGGTCCCAGGTGCCTCCATTTGACTCTCATGAGGTTGCTGAGGTGGGGTTCAGCTCCAATGATGATGATGATAAGGATGATGATGTGATAGAGGTCACTGGGAAATAGCCGGGGAGCCCCTCCCCACCTCACTCGGGGCCCCCAGCAGGTTGCCCACCAAGCTGGAAGGCAGTGATTTGGACTTTTTGAGAAAAGGACACTTGGCAGGAGGGAAAAGGAAGAGAATAAAGGAAGGTGGTTAGCCATAGTGGCAGAGCTCTATTGCTGTTTAACAAAAGAGGCAAAAAAAAAAAAAAAGTCCAACAGAGCAGCAATAGCAGGAAATCAGGGACCCAAAACAGGGATGGAGGGGCAGTGCAGCCTCTTTTCCTTCCTGCCTTGCTTATGCTGTCTGCTTGCTTGCTCGCCCACCTGAGTGTAGAAGCGCACATCCCATTTCTGTCTTTGGGAACATTCTCTCCCAAGAGAGCTGCCTTACTGGATGACTTAGCTTGGCCTGGGGAGGGTAGGGAAGGAAGGGAGAATGAGTGAGAAAAGGAGGTGGGCAGGGGAGCAGACTGTGATCCCATGTGAAGTGGGGTTTTTAGGGGGTGGGAAGGAAGCTGACCAGGTATGTGTGTTTGTGAGTATGTATGTATGTTTATGTATGTATGTACATGTATGGAACAGAGCAGGGGTGAAGGTGGGAGGGGAGGGAGGGAGGGAAGAATTAAGAGGGAAACTGAAAAATGAATTTATCTTTCTTTAAATGGAAATCAGAGTTTGGTGGTTCATGGCACCTATTAGTTTGAACATCAGGGTGAGCCCAGAAGAGCCATGGAGATCACAAGTTTCCTTCTGGTTGGGTGAAGAGAAGGCCCAGCTGACTCAAGTCCCTGATTTTCAGAGCCACATTTGTTTGAGAATTTGGGGGAATTCATGAGAGAAAATGGGCATTACCAATCTATGTCTCTTAACCCTGGTGGTTATCTCTGAGCAGCTCTCCCTTTCCAGCATGGAAGGTTGTTTGTGTGCAGAGGCTGGAAGGGAGAAGCACTGCAGTATGTGAGTGAAAGCTGTGGCTGGAAAAGACATTTTTCGTGAGTAGAACTGAGCCCCCAGCTGCCTATCCTGGTAGTCTTTTCTGTTCCTTTCCTTCCCCTTTAGAGAGCTCCATGTTAATTTATTTCTTATGGGCAACTATTTATTACTTGGACTTTTCATACGTCTTGTTTCTTTAGGGGTGGGGTGGGGGGGAGGTTAGGGATAAGGAGAGTTAGAGATACGGAAGTTTTAAGATATCCCAAACCCCATAGCCACTGGTGAAACAATCATGGGTGGATGGTAAATTGACCAGGGAAAGAGTTAGTTTTGACCAAGATTTGGATTAAACAACTGTATTTTCAAGAGATGGAAAAAATTTTGGGGAAGATCAGGGAATCCTGAGACTGGATAGTTAGTGAGGGGTGAGACTCATTCCACAGAAATTCAAAGTTGTGATCATGGAGTTTGTAACTGGGAAGTAAGAGATCCCTGATTTGGAGCTGTGTCCTGGGATGACCTTAGAGGCTGGCTCTCTATGCTGAACAGTGAAGCTGTGGATAGGTGGTTGCTGGGTTGAGGCACTATTGATTTCTTGTTAGGAAATGTCTTTAGGTGCTCCATGTAGGCCTGGTGTCTGCTGCCTCCATCTTTGAGGGAACATGGAGGAGCCCTTTGTGTGTAGGAGCCCTAAGTCTGGACTTTTTCTTAAAAGAGCACGCCAGTGACATGGTGGCTCACACCTGTAAACCCAGCACTTTGTGGGGGGGCGCCGAGGCGGGTGGATCACAAGGTCAGGAGATTGAGACCATCCTGGCTAATATGGTGAAACCCCATCTCCATTAAAAATACAAAAAATTAGCCTGGCGTGGTGGCACACGCCTGTAGCCCCAGCTACTTGGGAGGCTGAGGCCGGAGAATCGCTTGAACCTGGGAGGTGGAGGTTGCAGTTAGCCAAGATCACACCACTGCACTCTAGCCTGGGCGACAGAGTGAGACTACATCTCAAAAAAACAAAAACAAAAACAAAACTCGCCAATCATTCTGGGTCTCCTCTTATTGCCACTGCCAGGGGAGGGTCATCTAGTCCTTAACCCCGAACACTGGCTGTCTTCCTATTTGTGTCCTTACCCCCTCTGCATCCCCCAGCCCAAGACTTTTCACATGGTTCTTTATAATGAACAAACTTTGGCTTTAGAGCTTTACCACCTACGCATGGCTCCCTCCATACTGGGCAGGTGCTGTACCTGCCTCTTCCCAGCCCAGAAGGCAGCTTAGTCAGATCATCCCAGTAGGAGCTTCTGCAGCTCTTCTGACCAGCCCATTTCCATCTTTGGAGGCCCTTAGCAGACTCTGGGGTATTGCCTCAGAGAAGAGACACGGAGATGTTGGATGGGGTGCATGTGTATATGTGTGTTTGTCTGCTGTCCAATAACACCAAAAGTGGAACTTAAGAAGCTTTGTGTTTTCATAAGCACCCTGCCAGACACTTAACTCTTCTCATGGAAGCCTTAGATCTACAATTTAGCTATGCAAATTATTTTAATAATTTAAAAATAGCAGTTCCAACCAGTGCTTTCTCTTTCAGATGCATCCCAAGAATGGATGGTGAAGGGACTTAGTTGGAGTGGGCTTTCAGGTTGAGGCTGGTGCAGTAGGAGTCAGCTAGACTGAATCTCCAGTTTATAGGATACACTCAGAAACTGGGTTACACTGATGCCTTTTAGGCCCTGGAGCACTGGGATCCCAGAGATGCGTGCATGCGTGTGTGTGTGTGTGTGTGTGTGTGTGTGTGTGTTGTTGTTGGGGAAGGGGGTATTTCTGTATTCACTTCTAGGAAATCACTGTAGCAGCCTTCACAAATCTGGGAACTTTCCCAGCAGGGAACTGAAACCAGTTGCTGGAGGGATGGGCTTTTGAAGTTGCCAGAAAGTAAATGGGTATTCTGAGAGGTAGCACATGCCTACTCTACCCAGTGTTCCAGGGCTGGGTCTTACTTCTACTCAGCAGAGACCATCATTCTGGGAGGCTGACCTGACTAGAGAAGGCTTTCTCTTACATGTGCAGTTTCTATTGTGTAGAGGGGTGGGGGTGGGATCATGGGAAATTGGAGTGCTACCAGGTCCATGGTTTTTTGTTTTTTTTTTTTTTTTAAAGAACCTGAAAACACTTCTGACTTTTCCGCTGTCTCTTTATGTGTGCTGGTAGGCAAATGTGCATGAGCATGTTTGAGAGGGAAGAAGGAAGTAAGAACCATGTTTTACAGTTTATTTGATCATAAACACTTGGTGGTATCTTTCACCCACCATCCAGGCCTGAGTAGGGGAGGGCTGCTGATAAGAGGAAGGGCAGAAAATCAGGCCTAGGTATTTTCCCTTACTGTTTATTGTCTTCCATGGAATGTTTTCAGGGGCCTCTCAAGCCCCATCCATCTGGTTTAGCCAAGTTCTCAGCCTGGGGAACACAGTACTATTTAGTGATTCAGGTTTACCATTTATAGTGATGCTTGATTTTTTTAATATATTTGTAGATAAAATTGAACAGGGACAAAGTAGCTATTTAAGAAAGGAAGTGAACCATGTTGGGTTATATCATTTTCTTTAGGTTGGATATCTATGAAATCCACACTGCTTTGAGTTATGCTCCTTAAGCATCTATTTCATCATCTCCTAATTTAAGGATAATTCTATCTGGTCCTTGGAGCTCTCTTCCCAAGGAATTAGTGTGTGAAGTCTCTATATACCTGTGATTCACAACTAAATATGAACTTTCTCAATCCAGAAGCAGGAAGCAAAGTGCAGGGTAAAGTTTTGCACATTGGTTGAAACACTTAGCCAAACTTAAGTGGCTTGGTTCTCTCCGAAAGTTGTCAGCAGAGAAGGGCCCTCTGTGTCAGTCTATTCAAGCCTGGCATTGCTCTGAAACTGATAAGGACTCAGTTTCAGAGCAATGCCAGGCTTGAATAGACTGACATAGTCTTCTGTGGAGAAGGTCTTCTGGGGGCTTTACATTCCTCTGGATATGACCTCCTGCTTCCCACTTCGTTTATTTATTTATTTATTTTTTTGAGAGGGAGTTTCGCTCTTGTTACCCAGGCTGGAGTGCAATGGCGCGATCTCGGCTCACCGCAACCTCTGCCTTCTGGGTTCAAGCAATTCTCCTGCCTCAGCCTCCTGAGTAGCTGGGATTACAGGCGCACACGACCATGCCCAGCTAATTTTTGTATTTTTTAGTAGAGATGGGGTTTCACCACATTGGCCAGGCTGGTCTCGAACTCATGACCTCAAGTGATCTACCCACCTTGGCCTCCCGAAGTGTTGGGATTACAGGTGTGAGCCACTGCACCCAGCCCCCACTTGCTTTTGATTCCTCAGAAGACCAGTCTTTCCCTTCTGAGCCATGGCCTTCTGTGCACACAGCTCAGTGGCTCTTTCCCCACCAAAATTCCTAAGAGAAGTCATCCTTCCCCAAAAGGACCCCCACAAGATGTTCTGGCCCTCTGCTGACTGCTCCCAGGAATCAGCACCTCAAGGACTATATGAGAATGCTGCGCTCTCCATTGGTCACCTTCAGACTGCATTCCCTGCTGTCAACTCTTCTCTTCTGCTCTGTGTATTCTGTGACCCCCTTAACATCTGTTCTGTGCTACTAGCTTGGCCCTAGTCCTTTTATGAATACCTGAGTCTTACGATGATGAACTTCTTGAGCAGGCAGTGTCCAACTTCTTTGCTCTTCAGGGACCTGAGTGTGCACCTTCCCCTTTCGAAGTTCTGTTTGACAGTAATCTAGTGTGCATTGGGGAGGGGTAGCCAGGCAGTCTGCAGAGTCTGCAATGCAGAGGGCTTGGGGAGGTTTGGGTACTCTCTGCTGCCACTACTGGGATGATATTCAGAAGAGAGAGGACCTCATACTGTGACTGGACCCAGGACCCTCCCTGGAAGAGAGCTGTGTGTGTGCGTGTGTGTGTTTGTGTGTGTGTGTGAGAGAGAGAGAGAGACAGTATGTGTATGCTGTGCTCATGTGCACCTGGATGTAAAATGACTGTTATCTGGTTGTTACTCAGGGTGGGCTGGGGACTCATCGGAAGAATCCCCCCCAGCCTGCCCAAGACAGGTTTTTCCCTTGTACCGTCTTCAGAGAGGTCAGGGGAAGAGGGTCCAGGTGGGTTAAGGGGGGTCGCTATGGATAACCACTAAGGCCAGACTGCTGCCAGGAGGAGTGGGGGATAACGAGGTGGCCCCAGGGTCCTGGCACCTGGCTTTGGTTTTCCGTCTTCTTTCCTCAGGATGCCCCTGAGGCCTGGGACCTGTGCCTGACTTTGAGGAGCATCTGTGGCTGGGTGATCCAGCTGCTGGTGTGATCATGGGCTTCCCTCCTCTCAGCAGGGCAGGCGCTCCTGCCCCAGAGACTGGGCAACTGGCTGTTTCTATGACGTATTTATTTTTACTTGTGTTTCATGTCACTTTTTTAAAAAAAAAAGCAAACAGAACAATTGTAAGTCAATATAACTGCCTATCAGTTTTCTTTATTTCTCTTTTTGTAAAATAAAATTTAAACTCAAGAAGGCAGTGTTGTTTGATCAAGGAATTGTCTGGATAGCTGTTTGGCTGGGTGGTGGTGAAAGGAATAAATCTTAGAATATAGTGGGCTCTGGGATGGCCCTTGGGTGGAGAGATAGGCAGGAACAGAAGGAAGACTTCTGGCAGGCTCTTTGTAGCAGTGGGGTTTACTGGGCTTTTTCTGCTCTTGTTCACCTGAAGAGGGATGTATTACCACGCTCCAGGGGAAACAGTAAGCTGATTTCAGAGTGGCTTGAAGCTAGCTGGTCCTCAGCCAAGGTGAGTCCTGCAGGGGCAGCCCTGACTAGACTGAGTGGCTGGGGATTGGGTACAGTGTCTTTAGAGGGTGGGAGATGGTGTGTTCGTGAGTGGCTGGGGATTGGGTACAGTGTCTTTAGAGGGTGGAAGATAGTGTGTCTGTGAGTGGCTAGTGGTAGCGAAAGATTCTTACATTGCATATGTATTCTCTGATCATCATCCGTGTTGGGGAATCTAGCTACCGGCCCACAGAGCTAACCAGAGCTTTGGAGTGTGAGAGGTGGGGAAAAGAAGGGACAGTCTACTCCAGCTTTCTGTTTAATTTATTCAAGGGGAGGAGCCCTGGGGAAACAATTCTCTGGAAATTTTCAAAGGAGGGTAGAGAAAGAATTTCTGTGGTGATTCCTTGGACAAAAGAAGGCAAGAGTAGACGAAGGCCAAGTCTGGACTCGCGATAGGGAAATCTGTGCAATTGAGAGATAGGCTTGGGAGTGGAGGGTGGCTGCGGCAGTTGGCTAGGCTAGCAGGTTTCCTCAGACCTGTTAAAAGTTTGGGGGTTGGAATAAAGTGCCTTGCAGAGTAGGCTGCTGCCTCCTGGTGGCGAACCGCTGCCTTGCAGAGATCCTGCCAAGAGACTTCATTTGGCACTGTTGGAAGCAGCCTGAGATGAAGCTGGGCTGACTGATGTGATGACCTGCAGCCCCAGTCACCAGCAGACTCTCCCTCCACAAAAGAGGTGCTGGAGCTCCAGAGGCACATGCTGAACTCTGATGTGAGGCCCTAGAGTTCCCCAACCAGGCTAAGGGAAATGAGCAGAGAGGACAAGATGAAGAATGGGCACCTTCTTATAATGGTTTCCTGGGAAAAGCTTACCACCTTCTGAGAAGCAGGAGAACTGGTCAGTTCTCCTGACCCTGCAGGCAGAGGTTGGCAGTCTCTGGGCCCGTGCCATGGCCGCTCCTTGTGTCAAAGGACATGCTTCCAAGTGTATAGCCCGCCTGCTTGGGGCACCTGAGCTGAGGGTTTGACCATGTGCTTGATGTTCACAACAACTGCCACGACCTGCACTGGCCCAGCCTAGAGTGCCTGTGAGGGGCCAGCTGCCTATTCTGCCAGTCTGCCTAGAGTGCTGGGGCAGGCTTGGCCCTGTGGACGAGGTTCAATTTCCCCCTGCCTGCGGAAGGAGAATGTGAAGCAGATGGAAAGGAAGCTGGGATTATGACTGCTTCTGTGCCCAGCCTGCTCTCTGCTAATGCAGTAGTGGGATCCACAAGATGAACCATCCTATGACTGCTGACTTTTCTCACCACCACCTTCATGCTGTTCCCATCTGTGCGATCCCCTCCCAAACATCAGTCCTTGTCAGGATACCAAAGTAGCTCTTGGCCTCTCTGGTCTTGTTTCCAAGCTTATGAGCATAGTTGTCACCTTCCCCACCTCCCACCAGAAGTCCAGCACTCATTGTTGAGAGGGGAGCGTTTTATCTTTGGGCCCTTAGAAGAGTGCTTTGTAGTTTGTAGGTCCTCAGAAATTTAAGGTGAAGATTGAACCGATCATCAAGGAGCTTACAGCTGATGTGGGAATCACGTAAATTATCACTAAACCAGAAAGGTAGACCAGCCTCCCCCAGCCACAACCAGGACACTGAGGGAGGAGCGTGGAAGAAGGACATTCCCATGGAACGTGACTCCAGGAAGCCGATCCTTGGTTTTGTTCATTCTATCCCCAGCCCCTAAAACTGTCCTGGCAAGGAGTGATAATGTTTGATGGATGAATGTACTCACGGAAGTAGGGATGGGTGGGTGGAGGCAGGAAGCAGATATTTGCGCTATGCAAAGGTTGGATCCACCAGTTTCTTCTGCGAACCCAGACTGGGCTTCAGCTTCCTCAGCTATGCCTTGCTTGGTTCCCAAGTCTGTTGCGAAGCCAGTGAGAAAAAGTGGCAAGACTAAAGGTAGTACAAATGTCAGATGCTGATACTGCTGTGCTGCACCTCCCTAGTCTGTACAAATTCTCAGCCCCCAGCTCCCTGGCCCCCAGCCTGGCCCTCTACTGCGGGCCACTGGGCTGCCTCCCGTCCCAGAGCTTGGGCCAGGCTGTCATTGTAGTGCTCCTGCCAATCTAGATGCCCTGGGGTGTTGCTAAATCAACCTCAGCAACCGGATAGTTTGTTGGAGGCAGGAAGGTATGCCGTAGGTTCCTGCCCAGCCGGTGCTGGGGCCAGGCGCACGCCGGTTGCCATGGAAACGGGGCGGGGCAGTCCTCCGCCTTCAGGGTCCCGCGCGCAAGCGCCCACGGCCACGGCCACGTCCCGCCGCGAGATGGGGCGGAGCGAGCGTGCGCGGCGGGCGCGCGCAGGCTCGGCGACCGAGCCCTGAGCCGCCTGCGCGGTTCGGCGTCCGCAGCGGGCGGCTGCTGAGGTGAGGGCCGGGCCAGAGGAGAGGCCTACCCGCCGGGGCGTAGGTCTGGGACCCCTGTCCGCTCTGGCGCGACCTCAGGGCTCTCCGTGTCCCCTCTGTGATTCCCGCGGCCCGGGCCGCTCTTTGCATCTCGTCTCGCCCACAGCTGTCCCCGGCCGGGTCCGAGGGCCTGGATGCGACCTTGGGGGCAGCCCCCACCCTTCCGGGCAGTCCACTGCCGCGGCCACGGGTGCGGGGCACGCCCCGAGGCCGTGGAGCTGGGGGAAAGAGGCGCGAGTCACGTTTTAACTCCGCCCCCGTTCCTCAAGGCCGCTCCTCGGAGCCCGGGCTGCAAACTTTAGCGTCCCTTAAGTTACAGATGTGCTTGGGGCTCCGAGAGGAGGTAGGCGAAGAGAAAAGCTCTGAGTAAATAGGCGAGGTCTGGGTTGAGCAGGGGCTGGAATCCGAGAGTGGGAGACGGCGGCCCCTCCTCCCCCTGGGGTCCTCCCACCCTCTGGAACCGAAGTTTAGCTCGTGACAGGGGCCCTTTAAGGGCCCAGCCCTCTGCCGCCGCGCACGTGAGCAGCACCAGGAAACCGGCTGGGGGCAGTCTTTCCCGGCGCTCGCCGGCACCGGCCGCACGCGTCCATCCCGGGCCTCTGAGCGTAGAGGAAACTGAGGCTCGAGAGGGTGCAGTCTGCCGGAGGTCAGCGGCAGCGGCAGTTTCTGGGCGCCAGGTGTGGCTGGAGCCCTCCAAGAAGAGGGGCATGACCACGGCTCTAGTGAGGAGCCCTGACATTGTAAAGCTAGGTTTGGCTTCTGATTTCCCCAAGGGGTTTGAGAATGGGACGAGGGTGCTTTAGAGGCCCCGGTGGGCTTTCCCTGAAGAGGGTAGTCAGGGCACGATGCTTGGCTCAGTGGTTATTCCTGGGCAGGGGTGACTGTTCTTTCAGCTCCCAGCACTGGAGCGCTCGGCCCCTGCCGCACTGGATGCCAGGAGTTACTAAAAGTGAGCCTGGCATTTCAGGTGAGCTCCCAGACCCTCTTCCTTTTCTCCTGAATATAGGGGAAATTTACGTTGCCCCTCCCGGTGCTGACCAAAACTCTGGGACCCACAGGTGCATTTTTACCCCCCTTTTCTGAGCAGTTTGGGAAGTGAGAGGAAGAGAAAGGTGGATACTAAGTTTCCCTGAGGGGGCAGAAAGTGTTCAACTGGGATGGCAGATCAAGGTGAAGGCTTGTCGTTCCCAAGGCAAGTGTAGACCTAGATTCTGGGAGTTTTCCAGCTTTAGGCTCAGGGATGTCCAAAAGGGATTAAATGCTTGAGCCTTTCTGGAAGCCAGTCACCAGAGAAGAGAGAGAAAGTGGAAATGGGGGCCTGGAGTCAGACTTTCTGGGCTTGTGTTGCCTGCATTTTGGTCCACGTGGCTCTGTTTAATACCTGTGTGACCTTGGACAAGTCTCTTAACCTCTAACCACTTGTACCCTTAGCCATACCTACCTCGTTGGATTGCTTTGAGGATTAATGAAGCTGTGTTTCAACATTTAGACAGTTCCTGGCATATAGTAAGTGTTCAGTGGAAGATTTCTCATCATCAAAGAAAATAGGAATGAAATTAACTGGAGACAAGATGAGTAGAACAGGCAGAAAAGAGAGATACTGATGGATAGGAGCACAAATGGGTAAGACTAGTGGGCAGCACCTCAATTTCCTGACACTAAAAGTTTAGAAAATTAACTTTGCCTCTTTGTGAGCAAATACTGTGTGCTCATTGACTCCAAAGATAATTTTTTAGCGTAAAATCAACACCCAGCACCCACAGGGAAGAAATAATTGTACAGAGCTAAGTTTTCCACAAAGCTGCAGCATGGCCTTTTCAGCTTCAAAATCTTTTAAATGTTAAATATTACTTTTAAATAATAAATATTATTATTTAAGTATACTATTATTAAATATATTATTAAGTATACTTTTTAAAAGTATATTTAAACTTCAAATATACTTTATTTGGGTGGGAATGTTTCCCCACTGGGTCACATGCTTCCCTTTCTATTTAAACAGTAGTTTTCTCTGGGCTGTGATTTTTTTTTTTTTTTTTGAGATGGAGTTTCGCTCTTGTTACCCAGGCTGGAGTGCAATGGCGCGATCTCGGCTCACCGCCACCTCTGCCTCCTGGGTTCAGGCAATTCTCCTGCCTCAGCCTCCTGAGCAGCTGGGATTACAGGCACGCGCCACTATGCCCAGCTAATTTTTTGTATTTTTAGTAGAGACGGGGTGTCACCATGTTGACCAGGATGGTCTTGATCTCTTGACCTTGTGATCCACCCACCTCGGCCTCCCAAAGTGCTGGGATAGGCTGTGATTTTTCCCACCCCCCCCGGGCAACTCAGGTCAAGCCCTCTGTGGAAGAGGGTTAGGCCTCTGGCCCCAAGCTGCCTGAAGACCTAGGCAGTCTACCTTGAATAGCTCACACACTGGCTTCTATGTTACATGTTCCTGGGCCTGCTCTTGAACAGTTTCTCTTCCCCTTATGGGTAATTGTTACTTCTTCCTGCTGTGCAATTCCCCTTTCAGCAGGCTTTTCCTCTTACTCCTCACTGTTTCTTCTATGGCTGGAAAATTGGGATGAAGCTTGTTAACATTGGTGGTTCAAGTCTGGGGAGCTTAGTGTTGGACTTTGTTCTAGCTGCTCAGGCTGTTTTGCTCTGGTCTTTCTTCTGGTTCTGGATGGGTGAGCTTGCTGGATAGCAAGGTCCTGGCAGGCCAGGTATACTTTGCAAAGTAGAGTTTCTTATGAAATTCTTTTCCTGAGGCATATTTTCCCTCAGGAATTTTTTTTCCTTATGGTTTTCCTGTTTATTAATAAGTGTTGGGACCCTGGCATTCCTGGTCCTTCCTCTGGCAGTAGTCACTGAGGAGGAGGCTGGGCTGTTGGCATGGCTTAGCAGTGGTGAGAAGAGGTAATGTTAAGGAAAGGCAGGTTGGCGGGTGTCTGGCTTATTTGGGGGAGCCTCGTCAGGGCCAGGAGTATGTCCTTGGCTAACTCACTCCTGTGCCCCTCTGTGACTCAGTTTCCCCAGGTGGGACCAGGGCTGCCAGCTGACAGGTGGAGCTGCTCTGATGTCTTCACCAACAGTGATTAAGAAATGAAGAGGCTTGTGGCTTCAGTCATCCTTTGTAGCTCCCTTCTAGGTCACTCTATGTGTAAACACCTCTGGCCCCTCCCCTTTCTGGGTCAGAGCACTCAAGGCAGGGCCAAGGAGGTTGGGCCAGAACTGGTTGGCGGGCAGGTGGGCACATTGTCAGAGCAGGCTACCAGCCTTCTCTCCCTTCTTTCTCCTTTGCAGCTGCCTTGGGGTACAGTGTGGGGGGTCCAGAGCCATGTCGGACCTGCTACTACTGGGCCTGATTGGGGGCCTGACTCTCTTACTGCTGCTGACGCTGCTGGCCTTTGCCGGGTACTCAGGGCTGCTGGCTGGGGTGGCAGTGAGTGCCGGCTCACCCCCCATCCTCAACATCACTTTAGCCTACAAGTTCCACATGGGGCCCTATGGTGAGACTGGGCGGCTTTTCACCGAGAGCTGCAGCATCTCCCCCAAGCTCCGCTCCATCGCTGTCTACTATGACAACCCCCACATGGTAAGGAGCCTCCATGGGGTTCTGTCCCATGGATGGACCTGGTGGGCCAGGGCTTCTTTGGGGAGGGTAGTTTTGGTTGCTGAGGAAAGGGTGGGAAAATCTTTGAGCAGGTCCTACAGACCCCTCCTCTGTGAGCTTGAAGCACCTTCCAGATTTAGCCTGGACTTCCCTGGGCATCCATTTTTGGGCTTTCTACTTGCCCACCTCTGGTTCCCGTGCCCATGGCTACTCGTGGATTTCCAAATGCAGTGAGCTATACCACTTTGGGTCCCTACTTTCTGCCAGGACTTTGGTCCCCTGCTGCCTCTTCTCATCCCCTCCTTCCATCTCCATTTGGGGACGGTGCTCTAAGGCCAGGCCATTCAGATTCTGCCCACTCTTTGGGGTTACATCTTGGTGTTTCTGTGCTTTCCATCCCTCAGCTCTCCTGCCATAGTGTTAGACCCTTGAGGGTTGAGAGGGCAGCCCCTTGGCGTGAGAGGGGCTGGGAATTGTTCCTCTTCAGCCATTCTGATGCTCCCCAACCCAGTGATATGGCATTTCCTTAGACCTCAAGCTTTCTAGTTGGGAGAGGGCGTGGGGGGCTAGTAGAGCCAGATGAACTACTTAGAATGTTCAGAATGCTCAAGTCAAAGACTAATCCAGCATCACCAGCACCATGTGGGTGTCTGGCTGTTCTTACAACCTATGGTGAGTCAGAGCTTGCCAATGTAGCCTCCTGCTATGTTATGGGGTTGTGCTGCCCACAGCTGGATGGGCTGGCAGTTCTGTTAAGGGTTCTTCAGCCTCTAATACTGAGCCATGCCAAACCAAGCATTTGAAATCCCCAGTTCTGATTTCCTTGCCTGGAGAGCTCAAGTGGATAAGCCATGCAGCCTACCCTGTGTCTGCTGACTGGGCTCACTGGGGCACTAATTGAAACAGGGTGTGCTGGTTCCCTCTCTGTGCCAGGTTCTGCTCTACACCTACACTCTGGAGATGAATCAGACCTGGCTTTGCCCTCAGGAAGCTCTGTGTGGCTGACACATCAGCCACACACAAGTGATTCTCCAAAAAGAAAATGTGCTTGATGTCCACAGAACTGTGAGCTGTGGGT